CTTCCGGCTTTCCGCAAAGCCACTAAGACCTGGTTGTTCCGGCAGGCCTGGGGCTGTTGAACTTCCAGCCCCAACTGAGATGGCAACTGTTGTGGTATTTTAAATTGTTTGTCTTTTATTTTCTTATTTGTATTCCCTTCCCTTTCTGATTGTTAGCCGCCCTGAGTCTCTCGGGAATAGGGCGGCATACAAACTGAAATAAATGAAATGAAATTAAATGATTAGTTAGTAACCAGGTTGTTAAGTAAATTTGCTTGTCAGAAGGTCACAAAAGGTAATCACATGAACTTGGGATGCTGCATTTGTCATAAATGTGAACCAGTTGGCAAGCAATTTTGATCACATGGCCATGGGGATGCCGCAAAAGTCATAACTGTGAAAAATGGTTATAAGTCACCTTTTTAAGTGCCATTGTAATTTTGAACAGTCACTAAATGAATTGCTGTAAATTGAGGACTACCTCCACTAGGCTGGATGGATAAGAACATTCACTTGCACTTACTTGGGGCTTTCTTCTGAGTTAGACTATATATGAATATGAACCTACATCCCATTGAAGTCTGAGGTTATGAAGCTTAAGTTCCCCTAAGTTTTATGGTACTAAGAATTCAAGAGAATGTGAAGTTGTACAGGATACCATCCTAGATTAGCAGAATGACCAGATTCCAGAGATCACAATGCAGAGAAGAAAGTCTGTGTAGCCACAACCTTTTTCCCAAGTCGCAAACTGTATTAACTCACATTTTTCAGCTACTCATGAAAGTCATGGGAGCCTTTGCAGAAGTGACTTTCTTTGAACCTGTTGTTTGTGCAATATGGACATCTGGTTTACAGAGGACAAGAGGCATCTTCAGTTATCTTCTTAGATCATCTTGAAACAAAGAACTCACATTATGGTTCATAGAATGTGCTTTAAAAATGTGGTTTATTACTGTATTCATTGGTGGAAAACCATAAATTATGCTGGCATAAAGTAAATGTTAACATTACGCTTTATGCATCTTTTTTTTCCTTCCAGAAGTGTCTTCAGAATTCAGAATGGGAGAACTCCAGATGCAAACATGGAATCACCCATTCGTATGTTAAATTGTAAAGAGTAGGATCCTATTTAGTGTGATTCACATGGTATATGAATAAGAGATTCAGAACATAAGCCAAGTTTCCCCATAATGTGGTTGGTCTGTGGTTTAGTATATTATGCAAACCAAACCTAGATGCCACATGCAATTTTTCCAGAAGTGTCAAATGGAATCCCTTTTTCTCCTCTGTGCCAGCAAAGGCTTCCCCTCCCTGCATTGCTACTTGCTACTTCTTAATTTTAAGTGCGAGAATAAAGGTTTGTTTTTGTAGGTGCATTTGTGTGGACAATGAACTGCTAAATAATTGATCAAATGTTTGCATTTGCATTCATTTGCATTGCATTCATTGTAATTAATTTACCATTTTTATTTACCATGTAGATTTCTTTTAAGGACATTTAGTTCCACAGTGACTCAGGACTGCATATACATAAATCAGAAGCACAGTACATTAAATCAGGCAAGTTAAAAAAAATAGAGCAGGGGTGCCCAAACTTGGCAACTTTAAGATTTGTGGATTTCAACTCCCAGAATTCTTGGAGTTGAAGTCCACAAGTCTTAAAATTGCCATGTTTGAAGATCTCTGATTTACAGGGATATCCCTGCCAGATCTATCCCCAGAGCTTGGGGAAGAATTTAGGTCTTTAGAGTGCATTTCAGGGACAGCAGAGTCAAGTCTATTTGATCTTTTGGGGTATGCTATTCCAGAAGACAAGCACAGTGTTAGACAGATTTCCTATGAACCTTCAGGCAGCACTGCTTGACAGATGGGATCCAAAGCAATCCCACTATGTTGGATCTGCTAGAGCTATTTGCTGCAGCTTCTAGGCCACTCATATCCTGAAAGGGGTGAGCAGCTCACATCCACCAGTACATCGGGATAAAAAGATCAAAGCCACCAAAACTGTTCCTTGCAGAATCTNAAAAAAAAATGAATTTCACCATTGCCTCAAACCATACCCTTCCACTTATTGTTCCTGATGAGAGATCTGGTTTACTAGAAACAATATTTGCTGAGGCACAATACTTACAATATGTACTTTGGATATATTCTAGTCAGAAGCAGTCAGAAGCGGTTGCTGGAGCTGCTAATAGTCCATAGCTACATATTCAGCAGGTTTACAATATAGCTGTCTATTTAGTCATCCCAGTAAATGTGCCTGGTAGCTTAAAATTTGGCCCCAGATAAATAAGTATACATGAATTAAATGCAGCAAACTATCTTCCACATTACCTATCCTGTGATCGTTTTGCCTGCCTTCACCTTAATATTTGGGAACCATGGATTATACGGCCAAATTGTATGTTAGGATAACATGAGACAATTCTTGAAAATGGCAGCTTGTACTAAATTCCCTTTATAAGACCAACTTTTTATTTTATTTCCCAATCTGACCTACAGTTCTGGGATTTCCTGATTATCTCCCATCTAAATACTAAAGCTGTCTGACCCTGCTTACATTTGTAAAGATCAAACAAGATGGGCTGGCTGTATATTTGATACATCTTGTTACTGAAAGCCTCTATTCCTACTGGTGCATAGCCTTCTGTGCATGCCATTATTTTATTAATAAGAACACTCCACCCAGCTATTGACAGTTGTTGCTCCATGCTTGACCTCTAAGGAGCCCTTATTTATTATTGATTCCCTTTCTCCTTCTTTACTTGCACTATATTTGGAGCTTAGCTAAAGCACTGAGTCAAGCAGTTGAAGTGTGAAATCATAAGCAGATTTTTGCCTAGAAGGCAAAATCCATTGTTATGTTCTGGCCCACTATAATAGGAAAATTAGTTCCAGGCTGTAGCAGTTGTGTAGAATTAATTACATTCTGTTGAAACTCATTTCATGTATTACATTGTCATATTTTATATACCTGATAAATAGTTAATGATTCATAGGATAACTTTTTTTTGGTGAACAGTGACTCATCACCTTAGTCAAAACTTGAACTATAATTTAATGAATATTGTTCTGAACTCCTAAAATGTTGTTTGTGTAATATTGGTTTGCTAAACACACCATAATTAGCTGGGTTCATGTTACAAGTTAAAACATAACCAAGCCACATTCTGGCTTAGTGAAATATAGGTGAATTAGCCAAAATATAAAGTCAATTTGATATGGATTGCTACTGTATACCCCAAAAAGCTAATATAATCCTTGGTTGTATAAACAGAGGCATAGAATCAAAATCCCATGACATGATAGCAGTATTCCAATATTTGAGAGGCTGTCACAAAGAAGAGGCGGTCAATTTATTTATGAGAAGGCATGACAACAAACAAAGGGATGAAAACTACTCAAGGAGAGAAGCAACCTGGAATTGAGAAACTTCCTAACAGTGAGGACAATTAACCAGTGGAAGAACTTGNCCCTGCATTTCCTGATAGTCTTCCCCAAAGCCAGGTTTCTAGGGCTTTGTGTAGCCTGAGGAGGATCCAGAAAGCACAGAAATCTGAAGCACAACCACCACCTCCTCCTCCTCCTCCTCCTGGAAAGATATAGGAGCTGTAGGGAGGAGGAATGGAATTCCTTGCTTAGTTTCCTAATAATGCTATATAGCACCTCCCATTCCACCCAGTTCATGAAACAAGTGGCAGACTATATATTTGTAGACAGTGAGTTGTCAATAATTATGCTTCTATAGCTTACCTTCTGTGGACAGCACAGCAAGGATGAGGACATCCTTACATTGCTGAAAGAGAGGGATAGAATATCCCAGCAGCAGACTGAGGGAAACTTCTTTTGCAAGCATATTTGGATCAGAAAATCATAACTTCTTCTTACCATTCCTCTCAATGGGGTTCAGGTGGGAAGGGTGGAAAAGAAATGGAAAAGAAAGGAAGATAGATGGTGGAGAAGTAGTAGAGGATGGATAGATACATTTCAGTACTTTGGGCAGTGAAAATTGAATTCCACCAAGATGGGGAACTATATGTTGGGTGCAAATACTTAAAACTGTAGTTTCAGCAAATCAGGCAGACATCAAGTTCAGGGACGCTACCATGCTCATTTTAGCTTCTAAATGTAAATAATTACGTGGCCCCATCACATTGCTCTCTTTGCAGCCCTTCCTTCTCCGTCCCTTCCGACTGTTTCTCAGGCCACAAGCTGGCCAGCTGGTCAGTCTTCCAGTGTTATTTTGCAAAAAGAAAAGAATATCTTGTTATCAGACTCACTCTTCCACCCAATAAGCATCAGCGAAAGAGCTTTATGATGGGGGACCCTTAACCAATGAAGAAAGGAAGGGGCGGGGCCATAGGGACGGGGGCGTTGAACTTTCGCCAGCTGGGTTTATTAATAGGGCGGTTGCAGCTGGATGGCAGCCGTAGTGATCGGAACATTGCAATTTTGGGGAGTCGCTCCCTTTTTTCGCAATAAAGATCTTTGACATAAGCGCTTCCGCAGCCGACAGAGTCCCGTTTCTCTTTAGGGTCGGGGTCTCCGAGTCTCCCAAAATGGCCGGCAATCGGGATTACGCTAAAGAGCAGCTGAAGCGCTGGCAAGAGCAGCGGGGCTCGCAGGTACCGATACCCACCCCCAGTTCCCGGCAGAGTCTGTGTTTCTGGCGCGCATCTTTCGGGCAGCGCATCCGGGGAGGGGGCCGAGGACATAAATCTGGAATAGCGTAATGTAATACAGTATATTGTTACTGGAGTAGAGAAACTTTTGTGCTTTTTATGGATGAACGGATAGCCGAAAAAAACGGACTGGAGATGTGCGGTTAATAGCTGGGAAGAGGAAACTGCAGAAGGTGTACTTCTCCGTCTCCGGGAGGAGAGTAGACTGGCTATAAGGAATAGTTTCAGAAATAATTTCTCCTAGGTGTAATGGGTGTAATATGTTCAAAATGTGATCTGGTTGCGTTATTCTACATTAGGGCGGGTCCAATTTTTGAACTTTATTTGAAATTATTGGAAATTTAAATTTCCAAACATAGGAGTGCTCAAAAGTTGTGACATGCCTTGAGAATGTAAAGATATTTTGGTTACTTGAATATACTTTAGATGTGCTTGGTGAGTAACTGCATAAACATAACTTTTCAACATTTTGTTTGTTTTATTTGCATGGCTCTTTTTGTACCATAGCTAAGCAGTTTGTTATTTGGGTATTTAATTCAGCTAAAAATATCAAGTGGTTAAAGATTGACCAAAGAATGGAATAATATTGTGGAGTGTTGGGAGAACTCTGGATAAAAGTGGCACTTTGTACTTTGCTTGGAAATTAATCTAAAATAGCTAATGTCTATATTTGAAGAACTGGATTTTACCCTGATAACAGTAGTTACATTATCAGTGGTACTCATGTTGTCCTGGCTTAATGACTTACCCTATTTTGTGACAGTAAAAGGAAGGAAAATACTTTTTCAGCATCTATCATTTTCTGTCAAATATGATATGCAATATGTACCACCTTGAAAGGAGAAGCTCCTGGTATAATCCATCCACACTAAAGCTTTTTGAAGCTTATCTTCAACTGAGATAAATTTATACTTAACTTGATCACTGGTATCTGTTGGATTGAAAGAATTTAAAGAAGAACTGGTATACTTTTGAAGAACTGTTGACAGTTTACTAAGGCTTGTTAGTAATTCAAATCAGATCATTATTTCAGTTATCAGAATAGATCTACACAGGCTTGAATGCTTGCTACGCTCCTACTCTCAGTTTCTCTTTCATTACTCACCTTTGTCAGCTTTCAAAACAGATATAGGTGGGTTCACATTTTGAGCTAAGACATAATAGAGCTGGTTTGTAATTTAGCATTGTGAACCAACCAACTCAGATTATAATTCAAGATTTATTGTGTAGTGTGTTATCTGAACTCATCTTATTCCACAATTATGGTTAAAAACATGATTTATGGCATTGTCTGGATCTGCCCTTCACTTTCTAAGTTGATTGGAAATCTCAAATTAATATGTTTCATTCTGACTTGAAATATATTTTTCAATTTTGAATTATTAGAATATCAGTTTGTGGTCCTTTGTGTCATACTTTTGAGAATTGAGCGTTCTGTGCACCTTCGGTGTTTAGTTATGCCGGCCACATGACCACGGAGACGTCTTCGGACAGCGCTGGCTCTTAAATTTTAAAACAGAGATAAGCACCTCCCCCTAGAGTCAGGAACGACTAGCACATATGTGGGAGGAGAACCCTTTACCTTTACCTAATCATTTGAATGCATTTGTTTACTAAATTGAAAGTTATATTCCCTTCAGCATCTTTCAAAGGAACCTTGATATACAATTAACAGTTTCAACCTGGATAGCAAGCACATGATTCTTCAGCTTAAACATTATTTAATATTTTTTATAATCCTAACTTAACTGTATGAAAGATGGCATTACATGATTGATCTTCAGTATGTATAAGTTTCCTTTGCTGTTCTCTCCTTCGCTCCCTTCCTAGCCTGCAACCTGCAAAGTAGATCTGGAGTATGTTGAAAAAGTAGAATTTCAGAGGATAGCCCAGTCTGTCAAAGTTATCCTTCTAAATCAGATAAAAATAATTAGATACAGTCTAGAAAGTCCTACAGTATTATTCAGGAAAGATTCAAATTTCTTCCATCTAGTAAAAGTACACTAATTGCTTTAGCGCGTAGAACTTATTAAATAAGTTCATTTTGAAGATGAGTTTACATGTTGAAATGAAATGCATTATTGTAACTAGCACTCTTCACCTGCTTGCTTCCACTTATCTATCCTCCATGACAAATGGTAAAAGAGGAAACTTGGCAATTTGTTTGAGTCTTTTTGAAATCTGTCTTATCCTAAAATCTTCCACAAATCCTTTTGACACACCAGGGAAAATCCTAGCAGTTAGAATACAAGTAGCCCAAAATTTCTGTTGTTGAGACATTTGTTAAGTGAGTTTTGCCCCTTTTTATGAGCTTTCTTGCCACAGTTGTTAAGTGTATCACTGAAGTTGATAATTTAGCAATTAATTAATTAATTTAGGTTAAGTAAATCTTGCTTCCCCATTGTTTTTGCTTGTCAGAAGGTGATCACATGAGCTTGCAACACAGCATAAATATGAACCAGTTGCCAAGCATTGGAAGATTGTTCACATGATCATGGGGATGCTACAAAGGTTGTAAATTTAGATTTTAGATTTTAGATTTTATTAATATTTGTAGGCCGCCCTTTTCCCTGAGGGGACTCAGGGCGGCTCACATAAAATCGGGGA